GGTTCCCTCGTTTTGGTATCACTATTTTATTTTGAATTTATGTAGCCCAAATGAGTTGTTAAGCTCATTTAAGCTGGTGAGATCTCGTTAACAACTATAGGTTACCTTATCCGATGGACTCCTGTAAAGTTAAGAGGACGTATTATGAGGTTTTAGTTTTGTTGTTGTATTCAAATATAATAAATATGTAAAATAAAAATAATTATAAATATTTAAAGAAATGACTGAATTTTAGTATATGGCTGGAGATCATCATGGCTCAACTTAAAATGAGCAAAAAGAAAAAGAACAATAACAAATATGTTAATACCAGGAGAATACCATTACATAAAAAAGTATTACGAGACAAGAAATTTAAATAATATCCAAACATTGATGAGGAGATACTAAGACAATACATATATTTAAATATGTTAATAATTTGAAGACCCAACACAACTAGAAAAAAAAAGTCCCAAGAAGCAAAAATGAACAACAACTAACAAGAAAAATGAAAACTGAAAGACATCCAAAAGGAAAAACAAAAACACATAATAACACCAAACAACGGGAAAAAAACAAGACAAGATAAAATTTGAAAGATGGATAAAGCTCAAATAAAAGAGAGCTCAAAAATAAACTTGAAAGAAAATCAATCAAATACAATCCAATAACAAAAAAGAATAGACACCAACAAAACCACAACAAAGTAAACTGACATCAGATTAGCAGTTGAACATCCAAAAGGAGAACAACCTAATGAGGTAGAAGAAACACGACCAACCAACAGGAAGAAAATAAAGAAGAAAATTAACAATAATTCAACAAGAAGAGTTAATGAAATCAATACCATTCCAAGATGTGCTCCTGACATTTGCCGTCAAATAAAAAATTCAAGGCTTCGTCAACTTGGAACAAGTCAGTCAGCTCTAAGTTCCATTCTTCATCTGTGATGGTCATCTGCGACGATTTATTGTCTGAGGATTGCGAAACGGGTAGGGTTTCGGTGGATTGCAGGCTTTCTGAGCTTCGGATTGCGGCGGTGGAGGATGAGGAAGGCAGGGACGCCGGGTTTCCGAGGATTGGGAATATTCAAAGCGAGGGACTCCGATGGAAGAGGAATGAAGCGGCGCGGGAATGGTTTAGGGGAAAAAATATTACATCAGTACTACGCACGTAGAGTAACGTGCGTAGTCAATGAAATCACGCCACGACACCCCACGCGATAGAAAAAAAAACAGCGCGATAACACGAAGAATATTCCCCCCGTATTATTCATGTGTTATTGTGTGTTATTCATGTGTTACTGATGTGTTATTGTATTGTGTTATTATAACGAATATTCTCAGGATACAATAACACATGAATAACACACAATAACACCATAATAACACGGAGTAATATTCCCGACAGAGAAAAAACTGCGCGGTAATACGGGAAATATTTCCCCTCGTGTTATTCATGTGTTATTGATGTGCTATTGTGTTATTATAACACCAAAAATATTCTGATATTCTCAGGATACAATAACACATGAATAACACGCAATAACACGTGAATAACACGGGGGGAATATTCCCCGCGTTACCCCGTCGTTTTTTTTTCTTGTCGCGTGAGGTGTCGTGGCGTGATTTTATTGGCTACGCACGTTACTCTACGTGCGTAGTACTGATGTAATATTTTTTTGAGATAGGGAGAGAGATCAAAGAAGAAGAAACCAAAATCCCATGGAGATTTTCAGAAAACACAGTCCCAGTACTACGCACGTAGAATAACGTGCATAGTCAATAAAATCATGCCATGACACCCCACACGACAGGAAAAAAAATGGCGCGGTAACTCGGGGAATATTCTGAAATTGATATTTGACAGAGGCTCAAATATTAATTTAGGAATATTCATGTGTTATTATATCCTGAGAATATTTCTGACGTTATAATAACACAATAACACATCAATAACACATGAATAACACACAATAACACATGAATAACACGAGGGAAAATATTTGTTGTGTTACTGCGCTGTTTTTTCTGTGTCAGGAATATTCCTCAGTGTTATTGTGTGGTATTCATGTGTTATTGTATCCTGAGAATATTCTTGGTATTATAATAACACAATAACATATCAGTAACACATAAATAACACCACATAGAGAGGGGGGGGGGGGGGGGGGGGAATATTCCCCATGTTACCGCGCCGTTTTTTTTTCCTGTCGCGTGGGGTGTTATGCCGCGATTTCATTGACTACGCACGTTACTCTACGTGCGTAGTACTGATGTAATATTTTTTCTACGTTTGGGGGTCGGCTAACTTAACAAACTGATGTAATATTTTTTCCTCTATCTCTCTTTACGTTTGGGGGTCGGCTAACTTAATAAAATAAAATCTAAATATGTAATGCCGAACCAAATGGTCAAATAATTTTAGGGAAATAAATTAAATTTAAAGGGAAATTTACAGACGTACCCCACAAGTATTATGTATTTACATATATACCATTTGAAATTTATTTCCTACCTTCTCATTGATGTAGTTAGTTTTCCTCGAGTATAGTCCTCCAAGATAGTGTACATATATACACATATATATTAAAAAAATTAGATCGTCGATCAACCTCATATTCAGACCGGGGGGTGGATCACCCTTCCAGAAAAGTATACAATTCGATCTTACGCAGATATCGAAGCCACGATCCGAGGAACTTACACCAAAGACCGCAATCAATAAGCCAGGCTAAGGGGTGCGCGCTGTCACGGACAAATAGTCTCATATCGGCTGGGTGTAAGACCGAAAAACAATATTTAAGTCCTTGGCTGCCCACCTCTCTTAAGAGCTCTTTTGGTATATATACACTCATACCTATATACCAATAATTAGTAAATTATCAAACTGATTATACAATAACTTATTTATAATTAAGCTAAAAAATATAACAAATTTAATTGAATTAATATTGATTAATGTTGATTTATTTTATTGATAATGTATCAATAGTTAATCTACTGGATTGAAAAATAATTAATTTAATTAGTTCATTTATTTATCAATTAAATAAATACATTTAGTTATAATCATCGATTAATAATTTATAAAGCTAGTTAAACTTAATTAAATCTATTTTACTAATTGAAATTGTGAATATTCAATCTCCTTAAAATAATGTCTTTTTTAATTGATTGCTAACACTTGTTAAAATAAACTTTTAATCAATATTAGTTTTTTAATTGCATCAATTAACATTAACAATTTAAATGAATTATCAAGATTTATAAAATAAAATAATAAATTTATATCTCACAAACCCTAAATCCAAGAGTTTATAGTTACAAGGAATATAACATTTTTTATTTATCAAAACTTTAGTACGAGAGCGAGTAAAAATAATATTTTGGGATTTAAATTAATTAGGTCAGATGAGATTCCAATAGTAGCTAAATTTATGTAGCATATTTAAATATTAATTAGATAAATTAAAGCATAATTATTGTAAAAATAATATCCTAATTAAGAATTAATTAGTAACTCATTAAATTATTTTAAATAATATTTTTTATGCAATCAAATTTACTTAAGTTAATAATTATAATTCAACGTTATAAAATATTTGAATTACTTTGTTTATTAATTAAGGTATTTACTCTAAGTTATTTGAGAAAATTACTATTTTTTACTACATTATCCAATTATTTATTTACATCAATATTTTCAATGATCTCTATGTAATTATTTATCCCTTTATTTTTTCACTGCTACCAAGTTGTCATTTTTGCCGTTTGGCAGGAGATATAGGTTAAAATCCAGCCCCAATGCTGCTCAAACTTTGTTTGATCGGAGCTAGAGGCAACGACGGGATCGCGGGTACAGAGATCACCGAAAATCCCATATTTCACCTCCTTCCGATCCGCTGCTACCCGAAGGCCGAAACCATTGAGGAAGGTCAACCTGTTCGCGGCACTCTTTCTCTCTCTGCGCGTTCCCGGATTCACTAAATTGCATGTCACCCCATTCTTCACTCTGGACGACACCCTTCCTTTCCAACACTCCCTCGCTGTTTTTTTTTTTTTTCATCTTGATTTCTTGTTCTCATTTCATACGGTGATGGAGTCGGGGTGAAAGTTACGATACAGCGAGAATCAGAAGGGTTTAGGCGTGGTGACGGTGAAGATTTTGGAGATTTCGCGAGCTGTTCGTTGCTCGAGGGCACAGGAGCCGAAATGGTGAGTTGGTTGCTAGGGTTTCTGCAAGAAGAAGTCTTGCTAAAATTTCTTCTTTGTTTTCTTTGGTCTAACTATGCTTTTGGTTTGGTGCATGTTGGGTTAAAGTCGTCGGATATACGCAAATGGTTCATGAAGCAACACAACCAAGGAAATGGGGGATCAACAAAAACTACAGCTTTTCAGAAATCTTCTCAGAATGTCTCCGAGAAGGTATTAATTATTTGCTTTACTCTTCCTTTAGTTCAGTCACTTGCTGAGCAAGTGGTCTATTTAGGTGTTGATAGTTTACTTATATGGCTGACCTTTTGTGTGGTTATTTCTATTGGGATTGATAGTTTACTTATATGGGAAAACATATCTATTTGCTTACAATTGGTTTCTTTTAGTTGACGTGATCATGTATTCATATCATTAAATGGCTATGCAAGGAAAATGCTTATTTACACTGGTTAAATGCATACACTATACAGTTTATTAGGGATTTTTGGTCATTGTATTTTAATCTAAGAACATAAAGTTTTGAATGATTAAGATTGGTTTTCGAGTTTACTTATGTTGTGGTTATTAGATGTGTAAAATTTGTTTTTTTTTTTCATATGCAATGCATTTTGTAATGAATTTTGGTGTTGTTTATCTATTTAAGAGTTTGATGTAGCCTAGTATATCAATTGTATCATGAATGCTCTCTCTTTCTCTGTGCTTTTCATTTCACATAATGGCATGATTTGATGATGAATGCTACACAAAGAATTTTTTGGGGAAGCTTTTATGATTCCAAACTAGCCAATCATTTGAACTGAATAGCCAAGTCATGGATCAATACGGAAATTGTTTTGAAAAAATGAACCATAATAATCTTATCCAGTTTTTTATGGTTTAGATGTCTGTTGCATGCTTTAGGAGTGGGAAACTGTACATGCATATGAAAATTAACTAAAGCTTAATTGCTATGTGTATAAAACAATGGAAAAAAAATTAAAGAATTTTTATTGTTATTTCTTTGTACAAGATAGGAGATGTATATGCATCTTCAAGGGGCATTACAAAATAGGAATGAATAAAGAAGGGGGAAAAATAAGAAGGGATCAAAGAATAGAGAAACACACGAATTACAATCAGAGAGCCATAACGAAATTGATCCAACAGTACAAGGTCTTTTTCCACGTGCCTTAAATTCTTTATTATGATTGGAGAGTGAGTGGGCCTCATTGAGAGAGAGAGAGATAGAGAGGAGAGTGAGTGGGCCTCTCATTGAGAGAGAGAGAGATAGAGAGAGAGAGAGAGAGAGAGAGAGAGAGAGAGATTCAACACTACTGTTTGAATTTCATGGTTTCTAAGCATATACATTATTAACAGGTTATGTGAATATGCTTTTGCACATATGAAACTTTTTTTCTAGCATAGATGTCACTTTTCTATATCTGTTCCTCATATTTCTTGCTGTTTTAATTTATTACCAGTATATCTGAGAATATGCTATAGGTTTGCATATGATTGTTTTCTCAGGCAATCTATTATTGGTCTATCTCTTAGCACTGGAATTGATATTACCTGTGTAAAATACTTAATGGAACAACAGGTCAAAGAAGATGAAGGAAATTTCCAAAGGAGGAAAACAAGCAAATATTTTGCTGCTGTTTCTGATGCAGAGAAGAAGTCTATGCCTATGGTAAAAGATGAAATTGCAGCAGAGGAGGTTTCTTCAAAAAGGAAGAACAAAAAATGTGATGATAAAATACAGAATGAACTTAAACCGTCACCAGCAAAAAGGTTTCGTAAGGATGCTGCTGCTTCTAATGATGATGACGACGATGATTTTGCGCCATCCCGTGAGAAGAAAAAGCCAACTGATACCAAACCCTTAAAGAATTTGCAGAGCAATGCTACTCGGGCAATTAAAAAATCAGTTGATGGTGATAAAAGTGATGAAGACGATGATTATGATAAAGATGCCGAGACTTCTGTTAAGGGTGGTGGAAGGGGCAGAGGTGGCAGAGGATCATCCTCAACAGGTGGAAGAGGAGGAAGAGGTGGAAGAGGCGGTTTCATGAATTTTGGTGAACGTAAAGACCCGCCTCATAAAGGCGAAAAGGTTTTTTAATGCAAAATATTTTGCGAACTAATGCAATATGAATTACATCTTTTTCATGTTTTTTTGGTCTAATGTCTTTGTGCTATGTTGTTATGTTAGGAAGTACCTGAAGGCTCACCTGATTGCTTAGCAGGTCTAACATTTGTCATTAGTGGCACACTTGATAGGTGATTTTCAAGTGTTAAAGTCTTCATTCTCCGTTGTCTTTATCTTCTTTTTAAGGTTTTAGGGTGGTAGATTATATATTGAGATATTAACAAATTTTATTTTAAATGCTAGTTGTTTGTTAATGCTAATTTCCTTCTTTCCTACAATCTTGTTATGATTGTTTTGACCATTTTAGTTTAGAAAGAGAAGAAGCAGAAGATCTCATAAAGCGCCATGGTGGTCGTGTTACAGGATCTGTCAGCAAGAAAACAGTTAAATCAATCACAATCTCATTAATTTCTTTTTCATGGTGGTTCTATTATTTTATCTAGGGGCATTGACATACATGACACACAATTCTAATGTATCTACATACCTCTTCTGAACTTTCATATTTACTTGCATAACATCATAATCTTTAATATCACATAAAACATAGAACTATTACCCCTTTTTAAAAGTGAAATACACCTTTTCATGCATAGAGTTAAAACACCAAAATGCTATTTATGTAAATATGTAAGTTTAAGTTTGAAATATGTAAATACATAAGCATTGGGTGCTAGTTATGTAAATTTCCCTTTAATCTAATACTTCTATCATACAGAATTTTCTTTTAGCTGATGAAGATATCGGTGGAAGGAAATCTGAGAAAGCTAAAGAACTGGGGTATTTACTTGAGCTCTAGCTTTTTTTGGCTTCTTGTTTAGTGTTCTCTGCTGTTGTTTCTACGTAATTTCTTTGATATTATTTTGTTGCAGCACCGCCTTCCTAACTGAGGATGGACTGTTTGATATGATCAACAAATCAAAACCAAAAAAGGCTTCTGTTCGAACTGATGGTAAAAGTAAAACTCCTGAAAAGAAAGATAAATTGCTGGAAAAAGACGGCCGAATAAAACAAGAGTTAAAAGGTTCATGCTAGGTTTCTAAAAGTTTGGGTTTTTAGTCCTTGCTTATAGGAAAAAGCCATTCTTTTTTATTTATTTGCTTTATGTAACATTGTGTACATTACTTGCAATGAACTGATTTATTTACCATTTCAGTGATCTTTTGGTAGTCCGTATAATTTTGAAGAAGTTTTCATTGTGTTTATATTCATTTTCCTACGACACTTCAGGAGATTTTCAGACTTTTCGAAGCAAGAAGAAAAAATAATAAAGTTGCATATCACTGTGAAGTTATTTGATTAGGACAAGGCCAATGAGCCATGCTGTTGGCCATATACATTTTTTTCTATTCCAGTATGAGATTATTTGGTTGATTTATCTTTTCAAGGAGGTGGAAGCCATAAGAAAAAATTGCAAGGGAAAATGTGATAGATATATGGAATGCTTGTTGTATATATTACGTGACACCTAATCCTTTACCACCATGATTTTAAAGATTGATTGAGGTTTGACATGATTTGGCCTTTCTGATAGGCTAGTTAGCAAGAAATTTAATTTTAATTATTGTTACAAGAAATTTCAAGGAGAAATTTTAAATTTATGTTCATTAGATTTAGGTCTTCCATTTGATTTCAATTTATATTTTAGTGGATGGTAAACCTTCTAATAAATACTCTTAAAACACTTCTAATTTTATTATCTTGCAAGCAATATAATGGGTTTAATAAAGTAATATTTACAACAACAAACCTTTACCACTAAGTGGGGTCAGCTGTATGAATCCTTTTTTCTTCATTGTGTTCTATTGAGTGTCATATTTTCATTTAATTCTAATAAATTAAGATCATTTTTTTTTTGTACAATATTTTTTTGTACAATATGCCCAAGTCTTTCTAGGTCTACATCTGCCTTTCTTAACATAAGTTAAATCTAAAACATCTCTCTGTTGACCTCACTTTTAGTTGAGGTTTAGTCTCTTCTCTTTAATAGCCTAGGAGCTAGCCATAAGACTTTCCTGTTGACTATTCCTAGAAAACTAGAAAAGGAACCCTCACCTTTTGAAATTCTAAACTCCTCTTTGCTCAACTTGAGGTTCCCCATATTGGTCTTAACCTCTAGCACTTAGTAGGTGATGTCAATATAGAGTAGCTCGAGAGGAGTTCTCGTAGGACTGCTTGACCTTAGTCTTGACCCTGGACGTTGATCTGGAGCTGTTCACGCACTTGAACTCACTGTCACTCACTGTCACTCACTGTCACTCACTTTCACCCCTATTCACTCACAACCCTGAACCCAACTGGTTGACTATGACCCATTGATTCTTTGGGAAACTCATGTAGATGGTCTTTCAGACCCTTTAGCCTTAGGCTGGGGTTTAGCTAGCACTAGTACATAGAGGACCCCAATGGAGATTTTATTGGTCCGTGGCTCAAATCAGGATAATTAGCACCTCAATTCCACCAATTACCCTATTTAGTCTTTTGCTTCCGAAATCAGTTTGGACTCTTCAATTGACCTCCATTTTATCCCAATTTGCCTCAATCTGAATCCTAAACCCTTCATAACAATCCTACACATCAAATTGAACCTTTAATTGGCCCTGGTCAAGCCTCAATTTCACTCAATTTCAACTCACATTCAAAATTCTCAAATTTGCCCCAAATTCACTATCTTCGCAATTTCCACTAAATTGAATGCTCAAACCTCAAAATTGACACCCAATTGGTGTTGAGAACTCTCTATAACATTCCCTTAGACCAATTTGAATCAACAATTTGGACCTAACCCAACCATAGCTTAACCTAGACCCAAGTTTAGGCCAACACCCCCAAATTGGCTAAATGCTCAAAATTCACCAAGTTGACTCTTCCAATCAGCTCGTAATCACTTCAAATCTTTTCTAAACATCTCATGACAACCATCTACACCATTCTGATTAATTGAGCTTGAACCAAAATTTTGACCAAAATCAAATTTTGACGTGTTTTTGACCCAATCGGCGACGAGGTAGCCCAGGCGACTAAAAGGACTGCGCCGGCGCGTCCGGAACATCGATTTTGCCTAAAGGAGATGTTCATTTCACGACGATGGCATGTCTAGGAGAAAATGCATAAAATGGTGCGCATAAGAATAATAATAATAATACTATTATTATTGTAATATAAATTCTTTTTTTTTTCTCCCTAAAAAAGCCCTAAATCCCCCAATCAATCTCTCACTCACGCCTCTCTCTTTCCCGTTCACGAGATCGACTGAGCCCTTCCTCCCCTGTTCGCGAATGCTTCTCCCTCCTCGAGCCGCACGCCTCTCGCCCCATGTCCTGCTCGCCCCATCTCCTCCGCGACTCCTTCCCTTATCCTCTGCTCTCCTAGAGCCGACCCAACCCTTATCCTGTCGCCTGCTGCGATTTTTGCCGATAAGAATCTTGGTCGAGGTCTTTCCACCGCAGGTAAGCTAAGCTTTGGGTATTTCTTCTTCTCCTTCTTGGCTATATAAACCCCATTTGGGGGGTAGGATAGGAGAGAGCCGAAATTTTCAAAGGAAAGGGGGAGGTGCCGCCGGATTGCTTCTAGACCTACTCTTGTTTTCCCTTTGTGCTCTATGTCAAGTGGTAACCTCTTCCCTTCTTCTCTTCTCTAGCCATTTGATATGGTATTTCCTTTGCATGCTGAAATGCTTTATGATGCTTTTGTTCGGATGATTGCGGGTCAAAAGGAAGGAGAAAAAAATGAAGTTTTTTTTTTTATCTTGAGTTGATGGATTTATAGTTGCATGCTAGGTCTTTGTTGGAATGGTGCAAGGAAATTTAATTCATCATTTTTGCTTTAGAGTTAATGGTGAGACTTTTGAATCTTTCCATTGTGCATCTTATGCAAATCCTCATTTTCAAAATCTGAAATTATGGTGGCCTATTCATGAAAAATCTAAAGCTATTGGATGTTCTTTTTGCAAAAATTTGAAACTATTGGGATGTTTATTTTCAAAATCTGAAATTATATGGTGGTTTGTTTTACAAAATCTGAAATCCTCCTAAGCTTATTTTTCAAAAACCTGAGAAATGTGGTGGCTCACTTTAAAATTTTAAAGCCTTGTCTTGCTTATAAAAAAATCTGAAGGGTTACTTTCTTCATTCTTTATGCTGATTCAATCTCATATATGCTGAAAGTAAAAAGAGAAATTTACTCCCTTTTTTGTCTCTTGCTACTCCCCCGCTCGAATTGCATGTGGAATGCCATGTTTATTTCTCCTCTGTGAAAACTAAAAAAATATATATTTGTACATGTGTGTGGGTTCGGTTTTGGCTCCCAGTGGTTTTCCCCTTTGTTTGAAATACATGTTGAATGAAAGATTTTAATTTTGAAGCTCCTGAAACTTACCTTGAGGGTTCGTTTTTGGTTTTCTGCCGCTCTCTCGTTCGAATATTTGCTGGAAGCGAATTTGAATGTCTCAAAATGGTGGCTTTGGGACTTACTTATGTTTCTTTGTCCCATGTTATTTTCCCCTATTTGAAATATATGTTGAGGGAGATTTGTTCTAGCTCTTGTTGGGCTCGGTTCTGGCCTTGACGTGGCCCTGTTTTGGCATTTGACTAGGCTCGGTTTTATGCCTTGGTACGACCCTGTTTTGGCTCGTGATGTGGCTCAGCTATAACTTTGTCGGGTCCGATTTTAGTGTGATATGCGCTTCGGTTTAGCCTTGTATTGGGCTCGATTTTGGCCTTATGATTGGTTCGGTTTTGACCTTCTGTTGGGCTCGGCCTTGACCTTATGTGGGTTTGGTTTTAGCCTTATGTAGAGCTCGGTTTCGGCCTTATGTTGGACTCAGTTTAGCGTTGTGCTGGACTCTATTTTAGCTCCTCGCGGCTGTCCTCTTGGCTCGAACTCCATGCTATGTAAAAATTTAATGTTATGGATCTCTCGGAGACCTATTTTGAAGCTTTGGTTTAACTTCATGCTGCGATTTACGTATTTGAAATGCATATTATGTGGACTATCGATTTGGGGATTGATTTTGGCTCCCTATGATTGCTGCCTTTATTCATGATCCTTGTTCGGTGGCTTCTCTTTATTACCCCTACCCGTGAGTCTTGTTTGGTGGCTCTACTTGCTACTCGAGGCCGTGAGTCTTGTTTGGTGTTTCCCCTTTGTTGTCCGGGGCCGTGAGCCTCCCTGTGGTGGTCCTTTCGTGATTGTTGATGGTTTTGCCTGTGTTGCCGCCCCGGCCGTGAGCGCCTATATGAGATTCTTTGAATAGTATCGGGTTCATACTTCATTGTAAGCTTTGAGCTTGAGTTGGAATTGAATGTCCTGATGATTGTGAAATGAAATATTTTAATTCTTGATTATTTGAGAAAGTTTGAATGCCCCTTTCGAGGAATAATTTGTCAGGTGTTCGGAAATGTTTCGGGGCCAATTCTACCGGCCAAATTGATTGCAATAAAAAAAAAGAAAAAAAAGGGGAAAAAGAGAAGAGGAAGAATCTTTTGATATTTGAGAAAATTCGAAAATAGTTTGGAGATTTCCCAAATCGTGCCTCTTGACTAGTGTATGTGAGTGTGCTATATTCCTTTACTCATTCAAGAGAGTCCCGTCAATTGAATGTTTTAGATTAACCCTACTACCGTTTGACCCCTCTTTTCTAAATTGAATTTGGAGGTGGGTTACTCTTCTTTTCTTTTTTTATTTTTTGGTTTGTTTTTCCTTGCTTCTTGGTTTGGTTTTCCAGTGTTTATGTCTGATACATAAGTGCACACGTATACCCTTTTGCTACATGTGAAACCATCAAGTAAGGTCGCATGTAGGTCAGTTTTGTTTTGGGGCTTAGGGCGATGATGACAAAGACACGCCGGTGGTAGAGCAGAATGATATCTTATCCAACAACATCAGGACTCAATTCTGGGACCTGATGAACTGTAGGATGAAAGTATCATTCACCGACATAAGACTTCAGGGGGACCCATACCTTTTTAGGTTGTTGGTGGTTCTTTGCCCGACGGTTTAATCGCTCTTGGGCAACTATTCTTT